GACCTCTTCTCCTCTCTGTGCCTCTCAGGGTTTTAACGACGGCTTGGAGGAGTTGTGTAAGATCCAGAAGGGTTGGGCCATCCCAGACAAAGAGCAGCGAGACTTCATCCGTCAGTCTCAGAAGAAGGTGGTGTCTGATGTTTACAGGGCCTTTCTGCAGAGGTGAGAGGGACGCAGATGGAAAAACATATCCAGAGGGTTTGACTTATGTCAACTAATTCATCTGTCAAAAGAATCGCCGGGAGATGTAATTACCTTCGATATAATAATCCATCCAGTACGTTCAGTGTAAAGGCGTTATTCTCTTCTCTTTTATGGACGTAATTACAGTGATTGTGTGATGGGCTCTGAGCGCTCAATACTGTGTCGACACAGATTTATAATAGTATTTGGATGCTTTCACGCCTAACCTGTTCGCCTCGTTGGGTTTTGTTAGTTCTTGTGTGACAGCTGTCAATCGAACTCACACACTTGTGGTGTGAAAGCAAAGGAACCAGTGTCTTTTCAAACTGGATGTGTCATTTAAACATGATTTCAAAAGATAAATAATAAATCCTTCTCAGGAAGCGATCTTATGATCGATCTGTATAAATTGGTAACCATTTCCCTGATCAATCAACTGTGTACTCTGGCAGGTAATTGAAAAGTGTGTCACATAGGAATAATTTCTGTACAAGACGCCTTATTATTTATAACATGCGGCCACTTTGCAGTAATAATACTAATAATGCTCATCAGTTCATAAGAATAATAAATAAAAGACCTGCTGTCAGCCAGTTTGACTTCTTGTTTGCAGCTCTTTGTTCGTTGGTTCAGTCCAAAAGAACGGAACCACAGGAGTGAAATATTTTTATCTAGATGTAACGACACTTCTGTAGTTCTTTTTAAGGTCAAACTCCCAATTTTGTTGTTACTACTTAAGGCCAATTTATACTTCTGCATTGAATTATAACCACAACAAGTGTGATTGGTCGGCTTGGTAGCATCACATTTCCTATGCTTTTCCGGCTCGTCCTTCTGCATCAACCGGTTTAAACGTCGTACACGGCATCTCCTCTGATGCATTTTCTCGTTTCTGCATTTTAGTAATTTCACACAAATCAGCTCCAACATGACCCGCTCAGTTTCAGTCACCATTGTTTGTAGTAGCTACACCAACGAAGAAGAAAAAGCAGCTTAACACAGTAGAACAAACTTAAATTACTGTATGTAACACTACACCTGCAGGCCAATCAGAAACCTTCATACTGACCATTTTTCTCTTTTCATCCAGATGTGCCAACATCTCTTTCACCAAGAACCCCGAGAAGTATCACAAGTATCGACCGGAGGAGGTGGAGGAGATGATTGAGAGGCTGTTCGACACGTCCGCCTGAGCTGCACTTTGATTAACCTCAACTCATGTTCCTCACGCTCTCCCGACACACCTGCGCCCGAACACAACACGAGCTCCTTTAACAACAGAGACACTCAGCCTTTCCTCGCACTACTGTCCCCGTGTCTGTTGAATGTTTTGTACAAAGACATGAACATGATGTATTTATGTAATTTACCCGTTCCAGCTTAGCATCTCAAACAAATAAAGGGAACTGAATTAGTCCGGGTGGTGATTTGTTTTGTTGACGGCACAGATAATTAGATTAGTTTACGGACATAAAAAAAATAACAGACAGAGCTGAACATAGAGTTTCTTCTGTTATTCAGTTTGGATATCTAGTTAAATGTTTGTCACCACACAAACGAAAGAACAGACGTCAGAAAAGGCTGCATCATTATGACTGGGAGCTTCCTCATCTTTTGCCGTGGTTTAATCTAATTGAGCTCAATGCTCAAAAGAGGAAGTGTATATATTTGTTTAACAGCAGTAGAGGTTGATACTGAGCGCGATGGTCCAGATTGTGTTTGGTTTTCATTCACGTAACGACATTAGAAAAGATCGGAGCACATGTGCTCAGTGTCAAAGCTGATTTAATCAATATCTTGATATTTACAATGGATCAAATGACTACTATTTTTAAAAGAGGCGAAATGTTACTAAGAAGATTTATCAAATACTGGACATAAGTACAATGTTCAGGTACTTGTAGTTTTTCCACTTCATGCTACTTTATACTTTTTCTCCACTACAAAATGGAGGCTAATATTTTACGTGTAACTCCACTGCATTTATAAGTTAATTTGCAGATTTAGATTATTAAGAGAAAAAATTACAATCACAAATTTTTCATGACGTGTTTTTATAGACAAAACTACACAGCAGTATATTAAGTTATTAAAATAAGCTCCATGTTTACCAGCTGCAACACTAAAGTGATGAACACATGAATGCATCAATAATTATAATCTAATAATATATATTATTCTGAAATGGGCCATTCTGCATAATGAGTACTTTTACTTTAAAGAGGTAGTATTATGCTTTTTGACTTTTCCCCTCTCCTTTATTGAGTTATATCTCTTTTGTGCATGTAACAGGTCCAGCCCAAAGCCTTCAACACAGGGTGAAAAGAGGAGCTGCAGCAATGTGCAGTAAATATTAAAAAATATGTATATATAATAAATTGAAAGTTTAACCTGTTCTGGTACAACCTCTAAATAAGATTATGATCCTGAAAATGAACATAATACCACCTCTTTATGTTCTTTAGGTATATTTTGATACTAGTGCTTTTGTACTATTACTTAAAGGATCAGGTGTAAGATTTTGGGGGCCCTTATTGGTACAGAGGGAGCGCGTCATGAAATGGACCTAATTGCTCGCCTGATGCATACAAGTAGGTCTATCTGCGGGGCCACAGCACAACAGGACACGCCCTCAAAACAGTCACAGTTTGGCACAGCGACGACCTGGATAGGACTTGTAGTCAAGTTGGCGTGTGGTGTAGCCACAGACTGCGGATAGAAAGCCTAACCACGAACCAGGTAATCAGGCTAGGTGTGAACACACACGGATACTATTGGTTCAACCAATTCAGAGGGAGCTATGTTGTGTCTATATTTATCCGGTATCGTTAACAAACTGCTACAAATGTGTAGCTTCACATTATTTTGACAACGCTCAGAGCCAAACTCACAATCACTGTAATTACATCTGTAAAAGAGAAGAAAATAACACGGAAATGAGTCAAGAATTATACCGTCTATTGTTGTCTGATTAAACTAAACGGTAATTCAGTAAGTTACAACAATAACATCGAGGCTGGGAGCACAGCCTTTGTGTGTAATCGAAGCACAAGATAAAGAAATGGAAACGCTCAGTTTAAAGAAGAGAGGTATTACAAATTAACTATTAATTAGCGATAACTTCAAGTTGAGGTGTTTGAGATTAAATGTTCATTCTTGGTCTTGGAAACATTTTTCTGATGCCAGAAAACCCCAAGTAAAGGTGGACCTAGATGCTTTGAGCTTTTATAACTTTAGTATGCCTTTTATGCTGAATATAATGATGAAAACACATCAAGCTCAACTGTAAAATAAATCAGAGATTGATACTGAAAACCGTGGTTATGTAGTATATTCCATGGACTATGAAACATCTTTTCACTGTTCATGCACTGCAGAGCCAGAAGTGCCGGCAACTGCAACATGTAGTCAGAAAAAAAATCAACCTAAAGTGTCTGTGGCAGTGACCGCTAGTGTTGTAGTACTCCAGACTGGTCTTGGTCTCGTCTCTGACTCGACCGCATTTGTACTCGGTCTTGTCTCGGTCTCAGACATTGAGGACTCCCTTGGACTTGGTCTGGACTTGGTCTCAGTAAAGTTGGGGGCTGAAAGATGTTAAAACACTGCCTAGAGCTGAAGGGAACTGCAGAGTTGGGTGATAATTCTTTGTGGGTTCATCACTACGAGAAACTCGTCTTACATTACAGACAAATGATCTATTGTTAATATATTGAGTAGTGCAGCTTTAAGTCATTCATCTAAGAGTTTCTCTGCCATTTAACACATGTTGTCAGGCTTACCATAAAAGAGCTGAAGAAACTAAAATAAAAAAAGGATGTAAATAAATATGTGCCATGAGCTCCACCGTAGAAATACTGTTACTTCAGCATCCACGTCAATCTAACCCGAATCTGCACAGATGGAATAATACGTGCTGTAAACACACTGATTTATGAGTACATCAGATGCTAATTGTCATGACACTTGGAGTAACAAATTCTTTATATTAATTTAGCTCATTAGACCAAACTGAAGCACAGAGGTGTCCATTAATTTTTCTAGATTTAATCTTCAGTTCCAAGGAACTACATCTATAGACACCCAACAACAAGTGCAACACACCTGGAACCTCATTCATAAAACAGACTTATGATCGGTTTTGATCTTAAGTAAGCCGCATCTAACTTTGACGTGAAAATTGATCTTATCTCTGTGCAGTCTAGACTTGACGTGAGAGATCTTACTGCTGGTTATTTAGGGGTATTCAAGGAATTTTGGCTTTGTTTGTCAACCCACTATTTAGTCATGTATCACGCATCTTCTAAAAAGTTTGCTTTTCTCTTTGGTCCATGGCTGTTCCTAACTAAACCTTCTCTTGTGCCAGCATTATTTAATGGGAATTCACTGATTTGAAGGCAGGTGCCATCGATATTAACTTCATTTGAGATTTATAGATCAGAGGTGGGTTTCAAATGGAATTCTCAGAACCTTTGTTAACAAGGTTTTTTATGCCCTTCTTCTTTCATGAATTGAATTTAGGTACACCGTCAGAAATTATCTTAAGATAAGAGTTCAAGTACAAATCTAGGGACATTTTTATAAAGGACGCTCCTGCTGCGTATGAGCCCTGAAGTCAGGGATCTCTGTTGTACTTCACATCTTCAAGAAGCAGATTACCGGCCTTGTCGCGACCTCGTGAGCTGGACTTCTGTCAACCTCTCAAAACTTAAAGTGTCCACACTCGACATCAAAGCAGCCATTATGCAATATCATGTCGCAGGAAGCCACTCGACAGGTGAGATATCTATGAAACAAAGAATCAACTAACTGGACGGAGAGCGTGTACAACTTTATGTATTTATTACTTCAACAAGTCCTGATGATGTTCTGTACACCACAATAATGCTGCCGGCATGCATGAAGACAGAAAGAAACGTTTTCTTTTCTCTCACGTTACAGCACCAGATCAGTTTTATGTTCTGTGACGTTACACACATACATATATTTTCAACATACAACACTGAGGATCCCAGTGACAACAAATTATCATGCAGCATATTTTCAAAAGTCAAAATTACTAAACAACAACACTGAGGTGTTTTGAGGTATCTGTACAAGATGCTGAATTAGTAACACAGGGACAAATATTTAGACATGCAGAAAAGATTTAAAGTCTGTCTGGCAAATTTTGGTTTCACAACATTCTGACAAAAAAATAAATATATTCTAGTCCAACACCACCCACAGCTCCTCAGACAAATCCTGTACCACCGAGCTTCTGAATGCGAGACTCATCTGAGCTTTTTACTCCTAAACTGTAGTGAGTCATTCCCTCTAGTAACTCTCCCATCTCATTAAACCTTCTGGGTGACACTGATGATCTTCATCAAGTAGATCATCTGTTTATCATCATTTAAACATAAAAAAAAAAACATTATTCGACTTTTCTTTATTTTGTAACTTTGGATTTTGTTGTTAATATTTTGTTTAATTCATATTTCACTTCACTCTGATCCACATGTTTTTTTCTGGCTTTCTGTGTTTGAGACTTTGTCACATCTGTATTAGCCTTTTGGCTCCCAGTCTGTTTTAGGATCGATTTAAAATCTTATTGATAACTTTTAAGGCTTATTTAACTCTTTATAAACCATTGGGCAGTTTGAGATCCTCAGGCGGGGGTCTCCAGTCTTTTCCTGTGTCCAGCCTGAGAACTAAAGGGGACAGAGCTTTTGCGGTCAACAAAGTGCAAATTAGAAAAACCCAGTACAGCACAGGCGTGTGCTTCAGTGAACTAAAGTCTTACTATATTTACAATATAGTAATACCTTTTCTAAAGTAACGTCTGCAGTCTGTGGAGGATGATAAATCAAATCAGCAAGTCAGACCCTCACACACAACAGCAGACCATGATGACCGCTCAAACACAGACCCCCACAATGCTGAACCAGAACCAAAGACACCATCATAAAACACAGGCTGCATTTTCATCTCTAATTCCATTTCAAGTTTCAAGCAAATATCTCCTTTCCTCCTGTTCATGACTGTGAATGAAAATGTAATCGGTGTTCAATAAAGCAGTAGTGAAACATTTGAAGTAACACACCTTCAATTAGCTAGCCAGGTAAAAACTCCAGAGGTGAGAGAACAAAGGCTGCTTATTTTTAAAAAAGACTCACAAAAGACTTTAAATGAAATCTAAATGTACCTCTGCAAAACTAATCCTCAATTTCACTGTCTGTGCCTAAGCACCAGTGTTAGCTAGCAATTAGATAAAATGATGAAACTCTGAAGGTAGGAAAGTTAAATGTATTAAACAAGCTAACTCTGCCAGCGGCTCCTGTAAGTCCAGTGAATCACACGCTAATGGAGTGACGCAGGCAGATAAGACTCAAATCGTATCTCAAGATTCTTGTTGTATGAATATGGGAATATTTACAGATTACAGGTAAATTGCAGTTAATAGAAAGACTCCCTGAACTGTTTTTGCCGTTTTCAAACCGTGGCTGTCAGGGCGCCGAGGCTCTGGAGCAACCTGCCCAAGAAAATTAGGCCGGCTGAGTCAGTGTTTCTTTTAAAAACACACTTTGATTGAAAAGCATTTCCTGATTTTATCCGAGCTGCTGATTTTATTCTCGTTTTATCTTCTCTTATATATCCTGTGTAGTTAATTTACATTTTATTGTTATTTCTATTATTTTATTTTTACTCTCATGTATTGTATTCCTCACTGTGGTATTTGATACCGTCTCTCTCTGTCTCTTTTGTGAAGTACTTTCTACTTTGTTTGATAAGTGCTCTATCAATAATATGTATTATTATATTATTATTAATTAATTAATTAATTAATTTGGGGCAGCATTAGCTCAGTCTGTTAGGACTTGGCTTGGAAACCGGAAGGTTGCCAGATCGAGTCCAGCACGAACCAATGTCGAAGGTGTCCCCTGAGCGAGGTCCTGAACCCTGAACTGCTCCCTGGGCGCCGTACGATGGCAGCTGCTGCTCCTAAATAGGATGGGTTAAATGCAGAGAACTAATGTTCCCTTCAGGAATTTCCCCTCTGGGACTTAATAAAATATTTCTGATTCTGATTTGAATAAAGCACTTTGCAAGTTGTTTTTTTAAAAGTGCTATATAAATTATTAGTAATAATAAACTGTAATCGTACAAGTCACTGAATGCAATAGTGGTAATATCCTTTTATTAAGTTTCTACAAAGCATATTGAGCTCATTTCACTGAAAGTAAATTACTACTGTGTTTCATCATATTCTTAGAAATGATCTTTATGATGAAACACATGTTCAGTCAGCAGGGCCCTGTCTGCCCGGGTCACGCCGCTTTTAAGTCAGTGCATGTGTGATTTCCAGGAAAAGTACTTAAGAATCTGGCCAACCATGAGTCCTGGTTCAGAGTATTAGTTGAATCATGTACGCCTTGCTATGTTGTAGTGTCTAGAGCCACATGCTAACCACACGTGCCGTTTAGTTTCTGGCACAAGTGGATTAAAAACAAATCAAGGTGTTTGAGGATTTGCTTTTTCCTCACATTAAAAACATAAATCTAAAACTAATCCAGAACAGCAACCGTGTCTGTTTTCTTGATAAACAAGAAACAGCCATGCTAGCAGCTCTGTGAGGCTGTAGCTTGGCACAGAGGTGCATCGAAATTTTGACCAGATGATGGCGCTAGAGAAAAAGTCAGGGGATTACCAAATTTATCCCGACAGGAACATGCATGTCTGGACCAAATTTCACGGCAACCAATCCAGTAGTTGTTTAAACACTTAACTCAAAATCCTAAATGTCAACATCATGGTAGTGCTAGAGCAGATATTTCACTGGATGAGTGAAAACTTTGTCCTGCCGGTGAAGCTGGAGGAAAACTCAGAGGATCACTGAAGTAATGAGGCCTTTTCCTCTGGGGATCATGAACGCCTGTTCCCAATTTCATCTCAATCCATCAACTAGTTGTTGAGATATTTCAGTCTGGAACAAGTGGTGGACTGAACGACCGATCAACCAACACTGACATCCCTGGAACCAAAAAGTGTCATTTGCTTCTTTTGCGACCAATTTGGTGATTTGGTGGTCACTAATTCAGCGGAGACAGTCCCTGCCCTGCAGCTTCCTCATTATGGTCTTCTTCACGGATAAGCAATGTTTTTTCTGTGTGGAACTTTATTTCATTCTGGTTATGTTCATAGTTCATAATGTTCCGTCGGCTCTCCCTCTCCTTCCTCTGGCCGCTGTCTTCAGTTGGACGTCTCCACACTGCTCACCTGCGCCACGTGCACCTTGTTGACCTCCCTGGTCCTCAGTGAGCAGCTGAACACCTTCCTGAAGCCTTTGCGGAAGTGCTTGGAGATGAGCGCGTAGACGATGGGGTTCAGGCAAGAGTTGGTGTAAGCCACCAGGTGGGAGAGGATACGGAGGACGTAGGTGGCGTGGTTGAGGGGGAAGCGTCCGGACCACATGCAGAGGATGACCAGGTGATGGGGAAGCCAGCAGAGGCAGAAGAGAGCGGCGACAATGACGATCATCTTTGTGACTTTCTGCTTGGCCCGCCTCGACTCGGACCTGTCCTTTACGGGATCCACGCTGGTCCACAGGTATCGGATGGTGCGACCGTAGGTGAGGCAGAGCACCAGGAGGGGGATTAGGTAGCCAAAGATGAAGGTGCACACATCCATTATGATGCGTGGTTTGGTCTCCCAGGCAGGAATACACACCACGGCGCCGGCCAGCTCCATCTGTGCATAGTAGCTGAGATACGGTCCTGAGAAAACCAAGGCCAAGGCCCAAACCAGGCAGATCGAGGTGAGGGCATTCTTTGGTGTTCTCATCTCCCTCGACCGGAGTGGGTAGCAAATGGCTAAATACCTATAGAGCAGAGGGAAGATATGTAATCCAGGCGTCTATCACCAAAAGGTTTGAATCATTACAGGGCTTGGTTACGTTGCCAGACATTAAATTGATGTAGTTTGTCAGGGTGATTGAGTCAATCTTCTAAGGCTTAAAGGGAATTTTTTGCTCTGTTGCAGTGAATTCATGTGAAACAAATGTGATGTAATAAAACAAATGTAATATTACAAACTTACACACACACACACACACACACACACACACACACACACACACACACACACTGCGGTGGCATCGAGTTTTCATATCCACCTCCAAAAAGAGACTTAAAAAGACTTAAGATGAGCAATTTCTTCTTTGCTGGGAGCGGCGTTATAACTGGAAAACAGGATGCAGGAAATGATCGACTCCAATCACGCTGATCTGTCCCTGAAATCCTGCTCTGGGTGTGTTGATGTGCATACCGGGACACAAATTGAGCTTGGCTTCTAATGGTGCGTATGTTTGTGTGCGTGCATGTTTGAAGGTGTCTGTCAATCACTGCTGATTTAAGAAGGAAGGCGTTTGAATCCGAATCTGCTTTACTGCCAAGTAGCTTTTCCACATACAAGGAATTTGCTTTGGTGAGGTGCGTAACAAAAGACATAAACCTATATAAATATGAAAATATGAAATTCACAAAACAAGTTATAGAAGAATAATAAAGACTATGTGGCAATTAATTACTTACACCTGCATTAAAATCCAGATGTGTGATGACTGTCACAAAGGCACAAACTGCCTTTTTACAGCAAAGCTTTTAGAAGAAGTACATTTTTGAATCATTGTGTCCTTATAATGTTCATTTTTATTTTCTGGTTTTATTCTGTTCTGTTTGAATCTATGTATTGTACAATTTGGTGTTTTAAATTGCCTATCTTTAATATGCGTGTTTATGTGGGCTTCATCCTAACAATGGCCCTGTATCAGTTGTATAAAATTAAATTTTAAGTACTTCCCCTCCATGCGCGTTTTGCTGTCCTGAACTGGAAGGTTAATTCTAAACTTTTCTACATAGGAATACTGAAACCTTACAACATGCAGTGGACGCACCTGTCCAGGGAAACAGCTGTCAGAGTAAAGATGCTCGCGTACATGGTGAGAAAAATGATGAAGTGCACGACTTTGCACACCACGGGGCCGAACACCCATCCATCCAGAGTGTAGATGGTGGCTTGAAAGGGCACGCAGAAAACAATAAAACACAGATCTGCTATCCCGAGGTTGAGGATGAACATGTTGGTGGTTTTGGTATTCATCTGCCCGTTGCGAAACAGAACCGCGAGGACCAGAGAGTTTCCCACGGTGCCGACCAGGAAAATGACCGAAAACGCCAAAGAAATGACCACAGACTCCGTTTTCCACGAGGAGGAGTTCCCCGAGGAGAAATTCATATTTATGCCATATCCATTCATATCTAACGAGGTCCGATATCTGTCCAGCAACACAAACGCACAGCCTTTGGAGACGCGCGCCTCGTTTGCGCGCTATATTTCCATATCCGGACGCAGCGCAACAGGCGACAGACCCGGATCATCCAAGTGAGACACCTACAGCAGAGAGAAGTGGCATCCTCCCTCTCCCAGCTTGTCTCTCTCCTGAACACCGATTGTCACAAACCTTTTTTTTCTGCAAGGTGACGGCTCTAACAGAGGGATCCCTGAGGAGCCATTTTAATATGAGAACAATCATAAAAACGTTTAAATGCAATAAAATACTGCTCTGCTCTTCAGACATGGTAGGCAGTTTGAAAAACATATAAGGCAAAAATAAGAATAAGAAAGGCACCATTAACTACGATAAAACTGAATGTTGTCCTTGGAGCACAGTATAACAGCTATATTAGAATATATTAAGCCATATTATAATATTATTGTTTTTGGGGGCTTCATTCTGTGGTTGTCAGAAGTAGAAGAAAAAAAAATCACAGTATGTTCCTGAAGGAATTAAGATTATTAAGTTAATAATCATTCACAAGGAGTACTTTTTTTGTGTGTTCCCATTACAATAGAGCTTCAACCAACAATTATTTTTATCTATTCATTTGCTGATTATTTTCTTGAACAAAATGTCAAAAACTTTCCCAGAACAGTCAGAAACTCAAAACAACATATATAAATAAAAAGAATACAAGTCCTTACATTAGAGCAGCAGGAACCAGAGGTTGTTTGGCATTTAAAAAATTAGAGGTATGATTAATAATTGGTTATCAAAATAGTTGCCAATAAGTGTTCTGATGTTCCACAATTTTTTTTATTTTTTTTACTAATTGTTTCAGCAGCAAATGAAAACAGTGCAAATAATTATCAATATCTACTACATGGTTAATAATTAACTGCTACACTGTGTTCATGTCATTTAGTTGGCTGTCCAGGTTTTGCACAAACATAATGACTACTACTAATAGCCTACTAGGGGAGACTGGGGGCAATTCTATCAAGGGGCAATTGTAACATCTCAAATTGCACCAGTCAGAAACAAGACAGAATCATGAAACTTATCATGCACGCTCTCTGTGACCATCTCTCTCTGCCTGCCGAAGGACAAGCCGATGTACATTCTTGACAGTGTTTTTCAGCCAAGAGTAATTTTTGAGCTAAGAAAGTAATTCTTTTTCATCTACAGCAATTTTCTCATACTGTCATAACCATTAATGTCTATGAATTTAAATTTAATTTAAAAAGTCTTTTTTTGATCATCATTCTGTTGTCTAACTTCATCGTTTCTAGCCAGCCAATTTTTACAAAAGTGTTGTGGTCAGTTTAAATATCTATATTATATAATATGTCTTTTGCAGCATAGTCCAATAGTTAAATCTTTGGCCTTTTCATTCTGGGAACCGGGTTCAATTCATTCCCAGCAAGAGCCAATTGCTCATGCTTTTAATATCTTCAGTGTCTAAAAATGAGAAGTTGTCGCAATGTTAAATACTGTAATAATAATCTATCAACATATTTATCAAGAGATCAACATTGTTTAGATTTTTGGTTTGTAATAGTAGCATTATAGAAGCTCAATATAAAAAAGAATAGATGATGGCATCTTTCTAACAATGTTCAGTTTAAACATTTATGTATATGAATGATCTATAACCTACTTTACTATGTATAATGTGTTATCAATAGGCCTGTTACTTATTGGCATAGTCCAGAGGTTCAAGTTTTTGCCTCTCAATTTGGGGATGTTGCCTCTGATGATGTGTTGAGGGGCAACTCGGTGCTCTGACATTTGTCATGTGTCCTTGTACCACTTATTAACAAGGGAGACGTTTCAAGCAGTAATATCAATGGGTTTTAAATTGTTTTAATTTGATCCTTGGTATCTATATGAAGGAATTACGTGTGTTGTTACAATCGCCCCCATATGCTGTTACAAACACCCCTGCATGTGGGGGCAGATGTAACATTTCACATCTAGTGTTTGAATCAATATTGTGACTTGAATAAACATTTCATGACTGTTAACAAGTAAAACACAGGTACAAGTTACCTCTATAGAAATTGTATCCAATTAGTTCAAGAAGTTTTTGAGTTATAATCAAGAAACCAAAAATTGTTACAATTGTCCCCGGTCTCCCCTACTTACTAATAATGTTACAAAGTGTCTTACAATAGCCTAGAGGTTAGCATGATTAGTTAGTTATGATTAATTAGCAAAACAAAAGTACAGCTGAGGCTGATGGGATTGTCATTGTAAATGTTTGTTCATAAACGACTGAGTTGGACATATTAAAACGTTGAACTGGGGGTGATGCTAGTTGATAAGTCAAAAGGATTACCAAAGTTATTACAATTCAGCCTGAGGGGAGCGTGAATGAGGCATCATGGCAATCCATCCAATAGTTGTTGAGAAACTTCAATCTGGACAAAAGTGGCGCGCCGACAGGTGTTACAAAAACTGGTACCCTCATTTTCTGACTCACATCATACATAAACACAGACTTACAGACAGGACATTATCCTCCTCCAGCAGATGTACAAATGCAAACATCCTCACTGGGCTAAATTTAACACGTTTCTTTTTTTTATCTGAGGAAGCGGTTGCTTCTGCCCGTCTGTTTCCTCCTCTGGGAGTCTGAATTACTCCACGATCAAACATACTGGAAGTCCGAGGAAGTTGAACAAGTCTAAAGAGTGCACACGATCTATTTTGCTTGTTTGACACTTTGATATGTTTTCATAATATCGTTTAATACAAACCTTGTAGACTTTACATTACAGCTAACCATTCTGCAGCGTTCAAGACATTTGAATCTTTTACCTGTTGGTCTCCATTTATTTTACTAAATTATAAACATTTATTATTTATTATAAGTGACTATTGAAATCCGTTCAAACCTTCACTGCTATGCCATGCAACGATAATGTGACAAGGACAAAAGAAACGCAGACTTGATGATAACTGTGATGATTACACAACTCAAACTAGTTTCAAGAGTTACAGTTTTTCCTCAGTCGCTTTGGTGCATTTCTCAGATCAGAAATTCTCAAAACTAATTGTTCAACCTTCACATCTTCTCGTTACTTGTGCACTTCATAAAAACACCTTCTCATTGTTTTGAACAAATTGCAAATGACTTGACACACTGATGCAAATGATTATGTGGTTTCCTACATTATCAATTGCTTGTCCTGCTGATCACAATGAATTATACCAGTCTCTGTCGAAAAATCTTACCCCCAAAACATCTAGGCATAAGTTCATTGCATTTGTCACTATATGCAAAATGGTTGAACACGTTATCAAAAATCAAAGTTAAAATACTTTATTCATATCCTTTGCCTAAAAGTATATACTGTAGCTAAACGAAATGTTGTTTCTTAAGGACCATAAACAAAGTAAGAATAGAAAACAACAACATCAAAATAGCAACACTCATACGCAATACCAGTAAACAGTAACAATACACAGTGAGCAGTAATATATATAAATAAAACGAATGTTGTTTTCCCCTGAGAACGGGGATAATTAATTATCTCGTGATCACAAGATAACAAACCATAGCTGAATACAGGGGCTGGCAGGTGCGTTTCTTTAGGATAATTTCAAAGCAATTACCAGTGTCACTGATTAGCTCAGTTGGTAGAGCACACGGCTCAGTTTGATTCCTGTTCTTGTTGACTTTCTTTTTCTTCTTTTGTGTGTATTATCCTCTTCAGCAAATTTGTTATGAAGAGATTTAGGGGAATCCAATCACACATTTCCTGACGGCTATTTCAAAGGTTCCGAAAGCCGTCAGGAAATGTGTTAAAACATTACATGGATTCCCCTGAATAAGAAGGAATTTCCTCTGCCTGGGAATGATGGGGAAATGAAAAGTTCATAGGTTGATGGACCAACAACGCACAGTCCAGCACGTGCTTTACAGTAATGTGAGCATGTGAAACGGTCTTTTCATAAGAACTTTGTTGAAGAGGATTATGAAAAATATAAAAAAGAAAAATTTAGTCTTCAGTGAGAATTGAGCACACAACCTTAAACCTATAAGTCCTCTGCTCTACCAAGTGAGCTAACCAATGATACAACAAATCACACTAATTACCATTATGGTAATCTCGAAATCACGAGAAAATGATTTGATTAGGGCTTCCGTATATATATAGATCTCTCTCTATATATATATAGAGATCTCTCTCTCTCTCTCTCTATATATATATATATATATATATATATACAGTGGGTACGGAAAGTATTCAGACCCCTTTAAATTTTTCACTCTTTGTTTCATTGCAGCCATTTTCCAAAAATCAAAAAAGTTCATTTTATTTCTCAGTAATGTACACTCAGCACCCCATCTTGACAGAAAAAAACAGAAATGTAGAAATTTTTGCAAATTTATTAAAAAAGAAAAACTGAAATATCACATGGTCATAAGTATTCAGACCCTTTGCCATGACACTCATATTTAACTCAGGTGCTGTCTATTTCTTCTGATCATCCTTGAGATGGTTCTACACCTTCATTTGAGTCCAGCTGTGTTTGATTATACTGATTGGACTTGATTAGGAAAGCCACACACCTGTCTATATAAGACCTTACAGCTCACAGTGCATGTCAGAGCAAATGAGAATCATGAGGTCAAAGGAACTGCCTGAAGAGCTCAGAGACAGAATTGTGGCAAGGCACAGATCTGGCCAAGGTTACAAAAAAATTTCTGCTGCACTTAAGGTTCCTAAGAGCACAGTGGCCTCCATAATCCTCAAATGGAAGACGTTTGGGACGACCAGAACCCTTCCTAGAGCTGGCCGTCCGGCCAAACTGAGCTATCGGGGGAGAAGAGCCTTGGTGAGAGAGGTAAAGAAGAACCCAAAGGTCACTGTGGCTGAGCTCCAGAGATGCAGTCGGGAGATGGGAGAAAGTTGTAGTAAGTCAACCATCACTGCAGCTTCCACCGGAAGCCTCTCCTCAGTGCAAGACACATGAAAGCCCGCATGGAGTTTGCTAAAAAACACCTGAAGGACTCCAAGATGGTGATAAATAAGATCCTCTGGTCTGATGAGACCAAGATAGAACTTTTTGGCCTGAATTCTAAGCGGTGTGTGTGGAGAAAACCAGGCACTGCTCATCA